GGATTCCGCTACAGGGCTTACGACCGAACCTAGCTCTACCAGCTAGCCTCGATCCCGCTACAGGGCTATACGGACAAACCTACGCTCTACAGGCGTAGGCCCTCGATCCCGCTACCCGAAGGGCTGTTGACGACCAAACCTAGCTCTATCATGTGACCCCATCGCTCCCGCTACAGCCTAGAGTTACTCCACCACGCACTCAGCCTTTATTAATTGTACGTGACGCCTTCGCTTACACCTGCTGACTCACACCGGCGGAATGTCGCTAATTACACAAAGTATAACCGGATTCCTGCATCCTATTGGCACGGATGTATCAGAGACGGAATTTCGATTTAGTGGCTGTCTACGCTACATTAAGCAAGACTAGGTTTGCGCCGAACGATGGAGGGGAAACGCCGCGGATATCGCTTAATTTTAATAGTTTTAGGTTAATTACTACTCTTTGGTCGATCTTGATTGTTTGGCACAAAGTGGTTGGGGTTGTTGTCTTGAACTGAATTTACGCCGATGGAAAAATTGTAAACGGTGCATTCTTACTGTAACATGTGCTACGCCATCGTGTTCAGACGTGGTGGTGTGTGCGCGGGGCGTATTTCCCCGCTCTTTCCATCGAAACACGCAGCGGCAGTTATGACGCCACATTAATAACAGCAATAATCACTGCAGTTGTACTTATGCGCTATGCAATAAGCGCATCCTCACGATGCGTGAAACTGTACCTTAATACGGGCGGAAGCATTCCCCGACGCTGTCACGGCATTGTGTTTTACTTCGAAGTATCTTGTTGTGTGTCGTTGTTTATGTTTGCACGATAACGCTAATGCTAGGGGCACACGAGCGTTACTTTTCGGCCGATCGACGAAGGACAACGTAGCGAATTTGAGAGCCGAATACGCGTTACGCCACTCGACGACGATCACATGATCACATGATGCGATACACATGATATATCAGACAACCACGTCCGATTGTTTAGGAAAAATCGATTCGGCGATCAAAATACGCCGGACACGGGCACCACGAGCGAAATTTGCCAGTAAATAATCGCCGGCGTAAATAATCGCCCGAAAATATCTAACATTTTGGATACGGGCGATTCGTGCGGGCGATTAAAATCGGCGTCGACGTGAACGGGCACACGGGCGAATTTTTCGAGCGATTTTAAAATTCGCGGCGATCGGGCGATAAAAATCGCTCGTGTGCCCCTACCTTTAAGCGTGCGTGTTTTTTGCAGCCGCGATGATGCGCTCGCTACTCGAGGAATTTGTGATTTACATCTATGAGAAAAAATTGCTATATTAGTTACGCTTTTCCCCCGTGATAGTCGATGCGCTTTTGTCGATTTAACGATGCGAGAGTTTATGCAAATGACGCGCCGTACGGTCGTTGACTGGGGATGTTCGAAATGTAAGTGCAGACAATCGCAAAAAAACACGACAGTTAATATGATGAAATATCTTTTAGACGAAACACGACGCACGACTAGTGTTTTAAATGGCGTAGAATATAGTATCACAGTAGAATAAAAGAAATATATAATAACATCGTAATAGAAGCTATACGCGAGGAATTTCGAGTGCACGAGCGGGAGAAGCGTGTCTTGGTCGGCCATATACAGCGGCGAACATCGTCAGAAACACGCATGTATCATGCAGCCTGATCAGTCTTTGTTCTCGTCGTCTAGACATACCTTGCCCTGTTACCCTCTACGTCCCTGATGCCTGGATTCTACGTGCGTTTGAAAGTTAAGCTCTGTATGTAGCGGAAATACACGACAATGATTAGTTCAAGAGCTTGTGAAATTTGTGCAGATACAATCAGACTGATGATATTCTTACGATATCCTATTATTGCCCCCCTTCCTCCCCCGATAATATCTTGCCAACGTGCACGTTCATTCGTTTTCTAAATTCAGTCTTTCAAGCTCCGTGTACCTGCTCCTTTTTGGGTCATCTTTTTGGGGGTAGAGGTGCTCCACCTAAATGTAAAAATTGAGGGCAAAAAGATGGCTCGATAGTGCAAACATAGGGCAAAAAAATGGCAAGTAAAAGATTGGGGAGGCAAAAAGATAGCTAGGAAAATATTTGGGAGCAAAAAGATGGCAAGAAAAACGAAAAATGGGGGGGGGCAATAATGCGACACATATATATAATACGTCACTAGGCGGAGTACCCCCCCCCCAGGGGGGGGGCTCCCGGCCCCGCATGCACGCTGATTCCTCTCACACAGAATGTAGTAGAAACAGCCAGGACCGAATATAGGCAAATGTTTATTAACTCACAATATTCTAACTAATAACTGTAGCATAATTTAGATATCTTAAAATCCCCGACGGGCCGCAATTGGTCGTCACGTGACATCAGGCACAGGCAAGTCGGGTTAGGCGCTATGGCGGGATATAATTTGGCACCATGCATCTTCCAAGAAAAGAACACGCTATATATATCGGACTACAATAGTTATATAACTGTGAAGCACGGAAAGAAACAAGAAGAACATTACATTGGTTCCGATCTCTGCGTGCTTTCCATGATCTTTTTTTCTCTTAGGGCGGTAAGTACCTTGAATTATCTTGTTAACGGTGCATCGCAGAAGATTAGTGCTACTTCCGGTTCCTGTCATAGTCAGGTCCCTTAGTGCAAAATATGGGCCGAATCGTTACAGGAGTGACAAAAAGTCTCAAACTTGGCACAGTTGTAGCTTATGGCAGTACTATAATTATTAGAGAGGGTGCCCAGTGCAGATATTCATTAGAAGTGAATTACAGATGATTAAATGTTCGAACCACCCGACTCCGAATCCCTCTACCGCGCCCGCCTGTATACAATACCAATACATGTAGGCCTACCAAAGAGCTGTACAATGCGCCAGTACCACTGATCTCTACTATACTAATGTTAGTAGTATAGTACGTTAATAGTAACGTTAGTAGAGTAGAGGCAAAGATCATGTACAATAAGATGAGACACTTGACACTTGTTGGGTCACGCGCGACACTAGCGCCGACCAACGGTGAGTTAGGATCACGAGCTGTGTAAATGGCGGCGCGCATTGTAAACGCAATGGTACAGTTGTCTGCTGTTAAGAAACGGGACGGTGCGTGGTGTTTCGCAATTAATTGCAGCAACAACAGCGGCAAGAACGTGGAGTTGTCGTTCTTTCGTTACCAGCGAAATAAATGGTAAATAATTGCACTATGGGCATGTAATTGCTATGCAAATCTAAGCGAAAATAGTACGACAATCTGTGAAGTCTGCTGTGTAGTTTCGTTGTGTGTGACAGATTGATCGCTTAATCAGGGGCGTGTACAGGGGGGTCTGTACTCCCCCCCTGCTCGCGTAGAATGTCCATTATATTTTTATTAAACATTTTATTTTATTTTAAAATAATAAAATTGTCTAAGATGTTAATGCACCAGACAAAAATGGCATTGATGCACATATCAAGATGAAGTTATTGTGGTGTCAAATGCGAGGAAAACGCATCTGAGAAGGTCTAATTTCAAAGAAATCATGGTGGAAGGCCCCCCCAGACCCCCCTCCGCCGCGAGCACATACGGTGCTCGCAAGTTAGGGTTACGGTTAGAAAGTACAAATCTTGTACACGCCCCTGTATATTTGCTAATATATTGACTAATCGTGCTTCAATAAACACAGAGAGTATAGCTAAGACATGTGTCTATAGGTATCTAGAATTTTAGAAATGTAACTCAAATCCTTCGCGAGATATTAGAGTTAGTACACTATCCTACGGGCCATAGCCGCGCGTATATATTAGCCTATGAGCGATACCGTGCGTATATTTTTGGTAATTAATTAAACTATTCGTGCTTTAATAAACTCAAAATTCACAGAGACCATAGCTAAGACATGTGTTTATATGTATCTAGAATTTTAGAAAATGTAACTCAAATCGTTCGCGAGATATTAGAGTTAGTACACTATCCTACGGGCCATAGCCGCGCGTATTATAATTATTAGCCTATGAGCGATACCGTGCGTATATTTTTGGTAATTAATTAAACTATTCGTAATTCAATAAACTCAAAATTCACGGGGATTATAGCTAAGACATGTGTTTATATGTATCTAGATTTATAGAAATGTAGCTCAATTCGTTCGCGGGATATGAGAGTTAATACACTTTTATGCCGCCTATAGCGCAATAGCGTATGCGCGCGGGGGGGGGGGTTAACAACTGTATACAATGCCCCAGTAAAGGCGGGCGCGGTTCGTACATTTAATCATCTGTAATTCACTTCTAAGGAATATCTACATTGGGCACCCCCTCTAATATTTATAGTACTACCATAGGCTACAACTGTGCCAAGTTTGATGCTTTTGTCAGCTCTGTAACGATCATGAAGCTAAGGGACCTGACTATCAGGAATTATAATTAGGAGACAGATGTAGATCCCGTGCTCCCGCCGCGGTGCAATTACACAAATGCGCATGCGCCGATGATACCGTAGAAAACAATAAAACTGGCTACGGTGGCACGTATCCGATCCCCAGGCGATCTGACTGCTGAGCGTATGCACGTGTTTGCGCATGCGTGTTAAACATGTGAACACAGTGGGGCACATTCATTAAGCGCGCAACTCGGTGTAGTTCTTCCACCGAATCCACCGGCCACCTATCCGTCCGTGGGCCTTTGGTTTTACATTGCAACGCGCACGTGCTAGCGCACGCTTACGTTGACGTGCTTATGTTTACGTACGTGTTTACGGCACGTGTACGTTTACGGCACGCGTAGGTGTACGTATACGCGTTTACAGTATGGGTACATTTACGGCACGTGTAGGAGTACGTTCGGGTTTACGGTAAAGGTACGTTTACGGTAAGTTTACAGCACACCTACGGTTTACGTACCTTTACGGCACGCGCACGTATACGTAAGTTTACGGCACGCCTACATTTGTTCACGTTTGCGTTTACGCACGTTTGCGTTTACGCACGTTTACGTCACGCGTAAGCTACGGCACGGTTAACTTTACGGCACGTGTAGGAGTACGTTCGGGTTTACGGTAAAGGTACGTTTACGGCACGTGTAGGAGTACGTTCGGGTTTACGGTAAGGGTACGTTTACGGTAAGTTTACAGCACACCTACGGTCTACGTACCTTTACGGCACGCGCCCGTATACGTAAGTTTACGGCACGCCTGCGTTTGTTCACGTTTGCGTTTATGCACGTTTACGTCACGCGTAAGTTACAGCACGGTTAACTTTACGGAACGCGTAAGTTTACACACGTTCACGGCACGAACACGTTTACGCATATATTTACGGCTGCTTTGAGTTCACTGCCACTGTGTGCCGTAGCCGGCCGTCACACGTCATATGATACTCCCGACACTACGTGCGGCTGCTGTAACGTGACGGCAACCCTGCGAACGACAACTTCTTCTTGCGCGCGGGCTGGCTCTCCGAATGTCTCGTCTGTCGATTGATGGACGCTCGAGTGACGGGGAGACTCGAGTGTCTGTCTAGCGGGTTACACGTCACCCTGCTAATTGGGTTGTTCGTCTCTATCGACTGTCGAAAATAGAGCTCGCGCTCTTCGATGTCCGGATGATAGATGTCGCCTCGGACGTTCAGCTTGGCGACGCGCACGAGCACGACCATGACGATGACGCCGATGACGATGACGCCCGTCGGCCAGAGTAGCGAATGCAGCAGCATCTTCTCGTTGTAGCGTTTGCGGCGCATCACTTGTTTGTAGTTGTACGGGTTGAAGTGGCAGGCGAATCGAGTGAGTAGCACGCCGTGTTTCAGCTTCCACGCGTTCACCATGTTGTCCATGCACGACACGTAGGAGCACTGTAACGGAAACGGAGGTTTAGTTAACGCGTTAATACTAGAGCGAAAGAAAAGGATAGCTCTGGTAAACACACACACGCACGGACGCGCACGCACGCACGCACACACACACACGCATGAATGCACTCGTGTTTCAGCTTCCACGCGTTCACAATGTCGTTCATGCACGACACGTAAGAGCACTGTAACGGAAACGGACGTTAGTTGACGCGTTACTACTACTGTTACTATAGCGAGGGGAGAATAGCTGTGGTAAACACACACACGCGCGCGCACGCTCGCACGCGCACGTACGAGTACTGTAACGGAAACGGGGGGTTAGTTAAACGCGTTACTATTATTGCTAACAGGGAAGGGGAATAGCTGTGGTAAACACATGCGTGCGTGCACGCACAAACACGCACGCACGCTCACGTACGCGTACGCACGCACACACGCACGCGCACGTACGCGTACGCACGCACACGCGCACGTGCACACGTGAGCATAAACACGTACTGTGTAAACGTGTATCTGTGCTCGCACAGGCTCAGTATTTTGAACTATTTTCCAACAAAATTATTTTCGCTGAAATTATAGATTTCAAGTAGAGATCACGTGGAAGTGGATTGCTATGTAAAATAAATGACTATTGCAATACACCACTTTAATCGTGTGACGAAGGCTGATTAAAAGTAACTATTCGACAGCGGAGTAAGTGATGATGCATGTACAGTTTCTGACAATTTCTGACAGTTTGAGACGAATTCTGATAATTTCCGTCTCTGAGTATGTATCTGAGATGTCTGCGCTTGTTATTGCGTGTCAGGTTCTTGTTCATGCAAGTCATGTTCTTGTTCATGCAAGTCATGTTCTTGTTCATGCAAGTCATGTTCTTGTTATTGCGTGTCAGGTTCTTGTTCATGCAAGTCATGTTCTTGCGGGTAATCGCATGTGCACTGTTCTGCTCAATCCGTGCTACACGCAACAACTGCGCTCCAAATGACGCGTGGAGTAGTTACTTCTATTTCTGAAGTTTTCTGCATTCTCATCGGGTGACTTTAAAGTTCGCAGAACGAAGGGGTCGATTGATTCATCGGTGTGTTTTATTTCACTTCTACGTTAAAGTCAAGTGATTTCACACGAGCGAGAAGTTGAACTGGTGATGGCATGAAACGATACACACTTATTACATGTAGCATCTCCACGCATGCGCGCGCTCCACACGGACGCCTCATGTCGTGAACACCCTCTCTATCTCCCCCACCCTCTCTCTCTCGCTCTCTCTCTCTCTCTCTCTCTCTCTCTCTCTCTTTCTCTTTCTCTCTCGCTGTCTCTGCCTCTCTTCTCTCTCTCTCTCTCTCGTCTCTCTCTGTCTGCCTCTCTCTGTTCCTTTCTCTCATCGCTCTTTCGAGCCTCTCTTCTTCTCTTTTCCTCTTCTTTCTCCTCGCTCCTCTCGTCCCCGCCTTATTCTTCTTTCTTTCTCTCTTCCTCTCGTCTGTCTCGTCTCCCCGCTCTTCTTCTTGTTTTTTTCTACTTCGTCTCGCTCTCCCCGTCTCTCTCTCTCTTCTCGCTCGTATCTTTCTCTCTATCTCGTTTTCTCTCTCGCCTCCTCCGCTGCTCGTCCCTCTCTCTCTCTGTCTCTCTCCTCTTTTTCCTCGTTTCTCTCTCCATCTATCTGATATATATAGCATACTAATATCAGAAAATAATAGAGGGAATGCCGCGCTTCCTATTATTCTAACTTCTCCCTTGCTCTCGGCTCTCTCATTTTCCCTCTCCTCTCGTCATCCCCCGCCCTCTCCATACTTCTCTCTCCTCCTCTTCTCTCTCGTCTCTCTCTCTCTCTTCTGGCTCCTCTTTCTCGTCTCTCTTCTCCGGGGCTCATCTCTCCCCTGAGTGTTGTCCCTTTCTTCCTCTCTCCTCGTGCTTCTGTCCTGGGTCTCGGTCTTTTGGATCTGCCTCATGTCCCTATCCCTCCTCCTCCCGGGCGTCTCCCCGGTGCTCTCTCTCGTCTCTCCATTTCTCTCTCAGTGCGCCCCCCCCCCCTGGCGTCCTCCGCGCCCTGTCCTTCGGGGCGCCGGGCGCCCCGCTCGGCTGTGCCGGTTGTGTGCGGTCTTAGCGGGTCTTGCCGGCGGGCGTGCTGTGCCGCGCGGTGTCCGGCCAGCCGGCCGTCCGGTGTTTGGGAGTTGCCCGGCTCGCGTCCTCTCTTCACTCCCGACCTGTCACTTCTGACTCTCGCGTCTCCGCCCCGCTCTCTCCCTCTCTTCCCGTCTCCCGGCCATCCATCGAGCCTCTTCTCCTCTGCCGTAGTCTCTCTCTCTCTCTCCTTGCCACTTCTTTCTAGCTCGGCACGGCGGGTCCCTCCTCTCTCTCAGCACATTCGTTTTTTTCTTAAAATCCAACGCAGAGCGTGAGCTAGCGCCATCGGTCTGAAAAAAACGATTAATTCAGCGACGGAAGCCTGACAGTTGGAGCGTCCCTACGCAGCCCGCTGCCGCGCGATTTCACACTAAGGTCGTGTTGAAATGAACCGACGACTGTCACGTTAAAATGCCGGCATGAGTATTACAAGTGGCAGCCGGCGTGACACCGGCGTGTTGCGCTGATCAGGTACGTCCACTCAGGTGCGTGCGCTGCTCAGGACGTAAACCCGCAACCGGGAATGGCATCGGGATGCCAAGGGCGAACGCGAACGCATGGCGTGGCTCTTTGTGGGCGCGGCGGCAGCTACGAGCAAGCGCGCTGTTGAACTAAACGGGGATTTGGACGGGAAGCGAGTTAGGAGTATTCTTTCGCGGGATGTATTACGTGAGCCGGAGGGCCTGGAATTTAGCCGCCACTGCTGAGAGCGTGGGATTATAATAGTATTTCTACTCTGCGTAATAGCGAATACGGCGAGACGCGACGCTGCCTATGTTTCACTGGTCGTGTGTCAACGTCGAGATTGCGTCACTCATAACTTGACGTGAGCGGCCATGATACACGAACGCGCCGAGGATGACACTTGTGCTATTCCAATCGCACCTACCCGTCACCAGTGTCCTGTATTTCAAATATGGGGACCCATTGGACCACTCGCAAATCGTCCGATCTCAGGAACTAGGCATTACTGCTAGGCAAACGGTTTCCTACGAAAATCTGGCACAAATACGAAAATAACCGGCTTTACGCACTTTGTCGCCTACGTCCTTACTGTGAATTTTCGCATTCCGTAATCAGAATAACGTCCTTTCATTGTATCCTCTAAACTCAGAACCATCCAGCTGACGCGCTTGTGGATACGTGCGCCGGCCTCGAATTGGCGGCACGTCTCCACTGCGAACAGGCGCTTCATACTTGAACATGCGCCGCGGTGGTTGGGTGGTGGTGGTGGTGCGGTGTGGGGTGTGGGTGGTGGTCGGTGTGGTGTGGGGTGTGGTAGTGTGTGGTGGGGTGTGTGGTGTGGATGGTGGTTATATGGTGGTGGTGGTGGTGGCGGTGGTGGTGGTGGTGGTATGTCGTGTGTGTGGTGGGTGGCGTCGGTGGTGTAGTGCTAACCGCGCGGCGGCGTAGTCAGTGGGTGCGGTCGTGCGCCGCTCTTTTGATTCTAGATCTTTCTAACGTAATTATATTTCAACGAATACCTAAGTCTCTGAGCAATCGTAAAGAAGCGTGTGGGTTCAAATAATTACCCTGAAACTACATCCATTCGATGCCGCCGCCGTCATCATCAATTCTGTAGAATCAAACATCCGCGCCGGCTTCGTACGTTAACTTTGTCAGACTCGCAGACCTCTAGTCATCACCAGCTTGCTTCATCGCTCTCCAACGATGTTATTGTGTCGCGTAGCCCAGACGTCGCCGTCTCCGTGGCATAATCATCTGTAGCCGGTTCATTAAAAAATACATTGTTGCCTCGCGTAACCATAGCCATCAGCTCTTGAAATTGGTGCGTTGGAAAGGTCCGTGTCAAGGATAAATCAGATAACATAAATCGAATGTGTCTCGTAAAGATACGCCATATAAATGTGGTGTGTGTGTGTTGTGGTGTGTTGGTGTGTGTGCGTTGTGTCGTGTGCTGTGCTCTGCGCGTAGTGTGTATGTGGTGCGTCGTGCGTGCGGCGTGCGTGCGTACGCGTGCGTGCGTGCGTGCGTGTGTGTTGTGTGTGTGTGTGTGTGTGTGTGTGAAATTCTGATATTTTGATTAAAAAATGTTTTTAAAATGGAGTTGGGGTACCCGTGAGTTGATTTTTGTGAGAAATCGCCATGGCTCTGGTAAAAGATGGTACGACGCGCTAGCTTGCTGGGTACCCAGGACAGAATGCTTCTGGCAGCACTCTCAGATACATTGTACCTGATTGTACGTGTATATAACCGTTGACATACCCGTCGAGTTAACAGATACTAGGCATATGCAACCCAGGATATGACCGCCTGCTACATTAGCAAATATTCTAGAATTATATCTATGTTCAACAGGCTAAAAGCCGGGTTCGCGCATGCGCAGTAGCTGACTAAACGACTAATTCAAAATTGTTAGATTCGAAAAATTATTTAAAATGGAGTTGGGATACCTCTGAGTAGATTTACTTAACAAATCTCTATTGTTATGACGCTTAAGATCAATAATTGTACAAATGCAAAATGTTTCGGTGGGAGGATCGATGTGATATAATAGAGCTACGCGTACTTACAATAGGTTACGATGTGGAAGATTACTGGCATATGTTCGCATAGTGGCAGGGGACTATCGGGATCATGCGGCCTAAGTGAAATTTTGAAATCGGATTTTACCATGCACATCTCCTTCGGGCATGCCCCTCTCTAGTTTGAGCGCGTAAGATCGGCCGAAATGTTTTGCTTGCGACCTACGCGCCATTGCCCACGTGCATTGCCAGACACATCACAGAGTATAGTGACGACATCATCGGCACACGCATGAAATGTAATAACCTTTGAAGTGGAGCGGCGTGCAAAAATCATGTACGGCAAATTCACTGCAGAGTGACGATAATCGATAACTGCTGACATAAGTCCAC